AAGCAGGGCCAAAAGTCCCATGCCGCCTTCCATGGCCTCATGGGCACCTGATCATTTCCTACTCGGAAGCAGGGCCAAAAGTCCCATGCCACCTTCCACTTCCATGGCCTCATGGGCACCTGATCATTTCCTACTCGGAAGCAGGGCCAAAAGTCCCATGCCGCCTTCCATGGCCTCATGGGCACCTGATCATTTCCTACTCGGAAGCAGGGCCAAAAGTCCCATGCCACCTTCCATGGCCTCATGGGCACCTGCTCATTTCCTACTCGGAAGCAGGGCCAAAAGTCTCATGCCGTCTTCCATGGCCTCATGGGCACCTGCTCATTTCCTACTCGGAAGCAGGGCCAAAAGTCACATGCCGCCTTCCATGGCCTCATGGGCACCTGCTCATTTCCTACTCGGAAGCAGGGCCAAAAGTCTCATGCCGTCTTCCATGGCCTCATGGGCACCTGCTCATTTCCTACTCGGAAGCAGGGCCAAAAGTCCCAGGCCGCCTTACATGGCCTCATGGGCACCTGCTCATTTCCTACTCAGAAGCAGGGCCAAAAGTTTCAGAGTAATCATTCTAAAACATTAATCGAGAAGAGTTTTGAAAGAGATAACTTGTTATTGAAATATGATACGGACCCACCATGGTATGGGCCTCAAATGTAATAAATGACCCAATTGGCAATGCTGTAACAAGTGGAGATATTGACTAGAATGCCCTCCAACAGATAGAGCGTGAGTGTCATTGAGTTTGTTATATATAAGGGAGGCAGGAAGGAAAGGGGGATCTGGAATATTTGGCATTTGCTTGGGCCCTTTTGGGATTGGGAGAGAGTGGAACCTTTCATATGTGTTCCACATTATCTTTACTTTTGTTGCTTGTTATTTTCATATGGATTCTGTAATTTCTTTCACGTTACAACTTTACTGTTAGAACGTTTCTGTTTGTAATTGTTGCTAGGAAATATATGAATGAGGAATATTGAGATCTGAGTTCTTGAGTAAGCTCTATTTTACATTGATTAATTGGTTGGTCCTTATCAAAATATAACAAAAACAAAATTTTACCAAGTTGCGTTGATACAATAGCGAGCTCTTAAAGTAGTCGGATCAAAATAAAAAGATAGAAACATACCAAGTAATTGAAGAAGTAGCAAAATAACAGATATTCAAAGATTCAGCAGACATAGTCATTACAGCACCAAAAGTCATTTAAGCAAAAAACTAAAATAAGTACAAAATAAAAGTGGCATCTCACTCCTTCAAGCATCTTTTGGGGTGTCCTACGATGTAGTCTTATCAGAAGTTGACGCCACACCCACGAACTCGGCAGGACAGGTGGCGAGCACGATAATAGATCCATTCTCATTATGAGTGCATAGTCGGCCATTATCAACAAAGTTGAAGGTGTCGATTTTATCCAAGTTAGTAAGGGCAACATCCGGGTGAAAAAACTTCACTTGGTCGACAGCCCAACCACGAATTTGATGACCAAAAGCAACATATTTAGAGTCCATGTCCTCGGCAGCTTGTTGTAGCGAGCTGACTTGCTTCTTCAGAGTGTCTACTTCCAGTTCCAACTCGGCTACCCGGAGGTCTGAATCCTCAAAGTTCTTTTTCAAAACTTTATGACCTTCAGTCAGCTGGTCATTTTCCTGTTTCAAAGTAGTAAGCTCGTCTCTGGCTTTCTTAGCCAGTTTTTCAGACTCTTTAAGCTTAAGTTGAAACCCCTGCGTGGCAAACTCGGCGGCTTCGGCTCTTTGAGTCAGGCGAGCATGTTTAGTCTTAAAATTGTTATTAAAGAGTCGTAACTCTTTAAACTTGACGATTAATTGCTCCAAGGAAAACGGAGGAGTTAAAGACTTTTCTGTAGGTGATTCAGATCTGGGTTCATTAATCCGAACTTGCTTTCGGGGTTGAGGTTCTCCAGAATCAACAGGCGGGTCCATATCCAAAATCACAGTCTCATTTGGAATGGAACCAGTAGCAGAGGTAGCCGGAATGGAAGAAGGAGTAGGAGAACCTTTTTTTTCACCAGAAGACGAGGAGTGAATCTTCTTCCCAGATACAGTTGAGTCTCCTTGGTGAGCATCCTTTTGTTTTTTACGAGCAAAAAATGAAGGATCCATGATGGTCTTATCTAAAAACAATACACGGGTGCAAAGTTAAAAGTAAAGTACATAGGATAATATAACAACAAGAGGTTAGTCACTTACTTAATTTCTTGCAAATCCAAGCAGGACAATCTTTATTTGCTAAAATAGACTGAGGAGTGATAGAAATATTTTCTTTTGCTAGGATAGAGTCCATGTCCTCGACAGCTTGTTGTAGCGAGCTGACTTGCTTCTTTAGAGTGTCTACTTCCAGTTCCAACTCGGCTACCCGGAGGTCTGAATCCTCAAAGTTCTTTTTCAAAACTTTATGACCTTCAGTCAGCTGGTCATTTTCCTTTTTCAAAGTAGTAAGCTCGTCTCTGGCTTTCTTAGCCAGTTTTTCAGACTCTTTAAGCTTAAGTTGAAACCCCTGCGTGGCAAACTCGGCGGCTTCGGCTCTTTGAGTCAGGCGAGCATGTTTAGTCTTAAAATTGTTATTAAAGAGTCGTAACTCTTTAAACTTGACGATTAATTGCTCCAAGGAAAACGGAGGAGTTAAAGACTTTTCTGTAGGTGATTCAGATCTGGGTTCATTAATCCGAACTTGCTTTCGGGGTTGAGGTTCTCCAGAATCAACAGGCGGGTCCATATCCAAAATCACAGTGTCATTTGGAATGGAACCAGTAGCAGAGGTAGCCGGAATGGAAGAAGGAGTAGGAGAACCTTTTTTTTCACCAGAAGACGAGGAGTGAATCTTCTTCCCAGATACAGTTGAGTCTCCTTGGTGAGCAACCTTTTGTTTTTTACGAGCAAAAAATGAGGGATCCATGATGGTCTTATCTAAAAACAATACATGAGTGCAATGTTAAAAGTCAAGTACATAGGATAATATAACAAGAGGTTAGTCACTTACTTAATTTCTTGCAAATCCAAGCAGGAGAATCTTTATTTGCTAAAATAGACTGAGGAGTGATAGAAATATTTTCTTTTGCTAACTCGGAAGTCAGCTTTTGAAACCAAGTAAAAGTTTCAAGTTCGTCAGTACTCAAATTCTTTGAGTTAGTTAAAAATGCTTTAACAGGTGTACTATAATAATGTTGGTTCCAACTGAGAGGGAATCGAGGAGCTCCGTCCTGATCCAGAAAGAAAGCAGAAGGAGTGGCAGATTGAAAAGAAGAAGAAGAAGCATATGGTGTAGCCGGAAGAGCTTCAGGTATACAAATCTTGAAATAATCTTCCTTGAAGTTCTTCCAATTGTCTTCGTATATAGTACACCAGCGAAATCTAGGGCGAGCTTTTAAGGAAACCCAACTATGACGAGTACTTCCTCTATCGATAACATTGCGGAATACGGCGAATAGACAAAAGAAAATCCGAAAAGAGTACGTGAACCCAAAAGATCTACAGATTATCTCAAAAGTTTGTAAAAAACACCAGCTGTTTGGATGAAGTTGAGAAGGGGCGATTTCAAGATGGTTTAAGACGTCCATTTGAAATTCAGTGAAAGGTAAGGATACCTTGAGCTCGGAAAATAAGCATTTATAGGCAAAAAAGAAAGAATTCTCACCTTGCCCGGAAGGTGAACATATACGTTCCTCTTCTCCGGGTGCAGCAACTCGAAAGGAAGTAATAATGGAGTCACGGAATAGAGGGATGGACTGTAAGGCAGCATGAAGATTACTCGAATTATTCTCATATAAAGAACGAAGGCCTAGAGCTTCTTCATCAACCCATGCTAGACCTTCCACAATAGAAGGAAGAGCGAAGCGAGAAAGTGGAAGCGAACGGTAGGGACGATTCCTCGGCGGCATGGCCTGGACGGAAAGGTACCAGTAAAACCTAGTTTAGAAGATATATTACAAGTTAAAAAGTTCAAATGAAGAAAATGGTGGTTATCAGTGGTTATAAGGGTATTCCTAGTCCGTCCAGAACGCATAAAGCCGGAAAAAAAGTCTTAAAGAAGATGAAGGAATAAATACAAGGAAGGTTCTTATCAAGATAAAATGTGAGTCTTTCGAGAGCATGTTTAAAGATGCAGGTAATAGTTCTTAGAGTAAAGGTTAAAATTAAACAAGAAAGAAGAAACGAAAGAGAAGAAACAAAAGCAAATGTAAAGATGAAAGTACTTACTGGTATAGTCTGATAACGAACAGCAACCAAATGCAGCAGAGTAGTTTGATGAAGAACAACAACTAAATGCAACAGCATCACACCAAGTTTGCACAAAGAATTTCAAGAAAGCACAGAAAGAAGAAAAGACCAGAAAACTTAAAAGAGAAGGAGATGAAGAAGAAGATGATGGAAAAGAAGGTGGGGGTTTTAAGGAGAAAAAGGAAAGGGGTGAATGGGAAAATCAAAGTAGGTAGTAATAAAGAGAAGCGAAAAAGTAACGGGCTTTTCGAATCTCGAAGGACAATAATGGCTGTCAGGATATGACGTTTCAGATGGGCAACTGTTTGGAGAATCAAGGCAACAAGAAAGTGACAAATGGCAATCAAGATTAGGATTAAGTAGGAAGCATTTAATGAGGATGCTGACGTATAAGAAAGAGAAGATATAAGGGGTAAAATAACTTATAAACTCGGAGTAAAATAGACATTGCACTCCGAGCTTGGGGGCTTAATGTTCCGGGTTTATACATCCGGGTATCAATAGTCAAGGAAAAGAGTTGATAGAACCCGGATGGGGTTTTACCCGGAAGGGAAGTCGGCCAAAATACTATAACCCAAAGTGGGCCCTACCACGATTACATGATGGGTTTCTATAACTACCCACGTTCACAATAACCACCTATGGAAGGGTTATATATACCAAAGACCATAACTAACATAGGGGATAGACAATAATCATACTAATGTTCATACACAACAGCAATAATTTTCAAACGGGGAGTACTAAATTATAGAGAAGCAGTTTTACCTTGAGAACCATCAGCTTTCTTAACTAAGGACTCATAATCAGCCGCCAAGAGGTTGGGGCGCTTTCTTTTAGTCTTAGGTCCAAATGCATCCTCAAAAGGCTGTCTATCAAGAAGGTGAACCCTTGATTGCTACATTCGAAATCCACAAAATTAGTAAATTTCAAAAAAAATAATAATAAAAGAAAGCACATAACTATTAACAAACAAAACAAAATCCTTGCAACAAATAAACAGCTTAATAAATAAACCTTTTGGTGGTCGTTGAGGAGTGACAGTGGCAATTTCTTCTCCTTCAGAATAACATTGTAATTACTCGACATGCGGCTCTGCAGCTCTTCTCTGAAGAACTCAAGCTCTTTCTGATTCACAACCCGAGTGTTCCCTACAGATCATGAAACCGAAAAATTAAAATAAAATAAAATTGTCAAAACCATAAAATTCACAAGTTCAAGTTGAAGAATCGTGATTATTATTTTATTTTTTGTTGTGAAATTGAAACTAACCGAACCAACGGCGATCAGGTTGGATTCGCGTGCTGGGAAGCTCCTTAGACTGATATTCGTTGGTCAAAACCTTTCCCTTGCGGTCGCGAACTGGCCTCGTGTTGTACATCTTGAGGCGGCGCACGGTGGCGGCGGAGCGTGACTCCTTCTTCGTGTCATTGCTGCGATTCACGTCGAGTGAATGCTTCGGTTTTCCCGAGACGTTCACTTTCCTCTCCTTCTTCTTCGTCATTGCAGAGATAGAGAGAGAAACACAGAGATATAGTGAGAGAGAGAGAGAGAGAGAGTGGTAGTGAGGTTCAACTTGGTTTGTTACGTTCAACTTGGTTTGTTCCAACTGAAAGAGGGGTACCGCCAAATACACACAGTTAAGGATTAGGGTTTCGTTCTCCAGAGACAAACGGTGGGAACTTTTCTTTTCTTTTTGCGAAAAGGATTAAACCGGGGAGATTATTTATAGTGGAGTGGTGGGGACCAGTGTAAATGGAGAAATAAAATTGAAAAAAAGAAAATATCACAATGGTAAAAAAGGAAAAAAAAATTGATGATATGATAAAGAGCATCAGATTATTCGATGATTCTGAATAGGGGTGTTCGCGGTCTGGATTGGATCGGTTTTGGAAGCAAAAATCATCCGATCCAATCCCTTCGGTTTGATCATATAATTATCCATTCGGTTTGGATTTTTTTTCAAATCCGATCCGATCCGATCCAATTTTTTTCGGTTTGGATTGGATCGGTTTTCGGTTTTTAGAAAATCCTAAAATTTATTTCATGATTATTGTGCAAATAACATCTTTTGTATATATTCTCTTTGTAAATTATTATTTTTTGAAATACAAAAACATTAGTAAACTATAATATAGTTTTTTTTTTGGACAATGAGATATGAAGCTCTACAAAGATAAAATTTTGTTGATGGGATGTGATTAGATTTTTTCTTGGATTTAGTTAATGGGTCTTGGGTTTAGAAATTTTTTGGTTATAATTAAGGAAAGACCCAAGTAGGTAGAGGAGAATTAATATATTGGATCGGTTTGGATTGGATCGATTTTCATCAACTCATCCAAAAACCGATCCAATCCAATTAAAATTTGCGGTTTTTTTTCGGTTTTTGATTTTTCGGTTTTCGGTTTAATCGGTTTTCGATTTTTCGGTTCGGTTACCGCGGTTTGAATCGGTTTGGATCGGTTGATGAACACCCCTAATTCTGAACCATAAAAAATATTTCTAAACCGGGGCCCCAAAGTTAAGTTAGTGGGCCTTGGAGCTCCTATTAAGAAAAAGAAAACAAAAAGTCCAAGAAAAGAGCCAGAATATTTTTATTATTTTTTTATTATGTATTTAAATAAGATTTTTCAGCTGAAAAAAATTAAAAAATATATATTTGAGAGTCAGAGTATTTTGGTTGAAAGTTGTTTTTATTATAAAGTCATGCTTACTCACCTACTTTGATAATATTTTTAATTAATAAAAACTGTTTCGAATAATTTTAAAATGAAATTTAAATGTTTGGAATAAGAAAAAAGAATTTTGTATACCTTATCTTACACCGTTATACCTAATAAAAGAAAAAAGAACGAGAGAGAATGTGTATTTAAAAATGTGTTTTTTTCTATTTTATTACTTATAAAAATGGCAGAAAATTTTTGTAATGAAATTGTGTGTAAATAAAATAGTCTTTTTTTCTTCGTAAATTCAAGAGGTATCGCCACTCAATCAGAGGGTGTATTTACAAAAACTGTCATAATCAAACTAACAGAATTCAAATTATATCATCTGAATTAGTTTATTTTATCTTTATTTTGATTTCTTTAATTTATTTTATCTAATTATTAGTAAGATTTAATGTTTGTCCTTTTAAATGACATAGAATTATATTATTTCAAGTGAGAAAAAAACACAAACAATGAAAATAATAGAAAAAGTAAGTATTTTTTAAAAAATTAAATTTTAAATACATTTTTTTAAGTTGTGTCTCTTTCACACTTAAAATGAAATAACTCTATTTCCTTTAAAGAATAAATATTTTTACCTTATTAATATTAGTTAACTTATTTCAAATTATATTATTAGATAATTTATACTTATCCACAAAAAAAGATTTTTATAGTTATGTCTATGTTTTTATATTATATCTTAGAAATGAACTTTCATTTACTACAATCAGATTTAAAAAATAACAATAAATAATTATTTTTTTTGCAAAGATTTGTGTCGTTAGTCTTTGGAATTTCACAAATTTATATTTACAAAAATTGAAATCAGATTTAGTAATTTAATTATAAAAGAAGAAAGATAAAATTTAAGTTGAATTATAAAAATATATTAGCGGGCCGGCCCTCTGGGCCGAGCTCAGCTTTCCACCTCTAACTATCAGCATTTTATATAAATAATTTTTTTTTGCAAGGATTAGTGTCGTTAGTCTTTGAAATTTCACAAATTTGTATTTATAAAAATTGAGATCAAATTTAATAATTTAATTATAAAAGAAGAAAGATAATATTTCAATTGAATTATAAAAATATATTGGCGGGCCGGCCCGCAGTTTTCCACCTCTAGCTGTCAACATTTTAATTACACTCTTGCAATAAAAAAATGAAAGTTTAATTTCTTTCTTATGTATTAAATAAAAATTTTCATTTTTATAGTTCTTTAATTTAAAAAAAAAATTTACAGAATGACAATTGTCATTTTTTATTTAAATTTAAAATTCAAAACTTTTTATGTTAATTATACATTTTTTTAAATATAATTTTTTTCTATTTTAATTTATGATTTTTATATATTTTTTAATTGGTTATACATGTATATTTAAAAATTTTATGTTAAAATTTAAATTTATTTTTTGTAAATTATAAATTATGCCATTTCTTATTTTTTCTTTTAAATTTTAAATAATTTTTATCGACTATAAATGTATTTTATAATTTTAAAATTTTTATTGTTTAATCTATAATTTTATATTAAATTTAAATTTATTATATATATCTCTTTTTACACTGCAGAAACAATAAATGCTGAACTATTTTTTCACCTATCAAATTCAAAATTTAAATTTAAAAGTTTGAATTATAAATATTAAAAACAATTCTCACTCAATAGACTTAAATAATAAATATTATTAATAAACTTAAATTCTTTCACAAAAAGTAGTGGAAAACATGTATTAAAAACCGTGCATATTCTCCAAGTAATAACTTCTAGTTATTCACTCACGACATAGAAAATTGTGTTAATTACACTCTTACATCAAAAGAATAAAAGCTAAATTTATTTCTTATATATTAAATTACATTTTTGTAGTGATTAAATTTTTATAATTTATTTTTTACAAAACGATAGATGTCATTTTTATTTTATTAAAATTTAAAATTTAAATTCTTTGTATTATTTACGTTAAATATTTTTCTTAAAAAAATACTTGTATGGAAATTTCTTATACAAAATAGATAGGTGTCACAATTATATAACTCCATTGATAATAGATACTAATGCATTCACTTGTATTTGATTGTAAACTTTAATTGTAGCATACGTTATCTCACCATTAAAATCATCAATAAATTCAAATGTTGAAAATTTAGGGAATTGGTATTCATTTTAATTTTATTCCATCAACATACATTAATGAACTTTTCAACGAACTAAAGGAGGTTTTTTGAACATATTTTTTGTATTAAATTAATATACACTTTTCAATAAATATTATTATTCTCATTTCTATGTAGAAAATAGTGAGATATTAATACAATTGTCTGCCACTAATTAATGTTGAAATCTTTTTCTACCTATATTATGTTTAAAATTCGAATTTTGAAAAAGTAGTGTGGGTATTTTTTTTTTGGTAAGCAGTAGTGGGGGTATTAATATAGATGTTTGCCACCAATTAATGCTGAACTTTTTTTACTCTTATATTAAGTTTAAATTTCGAATTTTAAAAGTTACTGGAATTTTAATAGGCCTGGCAAATACCAATGCAGGAGTTAGTGAGATCTTAATTGAGTTTTTAAAAATATGAAAAGTTATTATAATAGGAAACATTTCAAATTCCTGTGGGTGTGAACACAAAGCTGAAAATAATTTAGAAATTTGAATTTGATATTATGAATCAAGACAATTACAATATGAGAAGTTGAAATAATAATTATTTTCTGGGTACAGAAAATAAGAGCCCCAAACACAACAAAATGAAGAAACACTCTCTAAAAAAATATGAAATTAATATGTTGTGCTATTAGAAATTTATCCATCGGTTACAAATTCTTTTTCAGCATCAAGACAAAAAACTATTCACAGGCATCGAAGACGTTGAAGACAAAAAACACAGGCAAGCACTACACAGCATCGAAGACATTGAATACAGGCAAAAAACTATTCACAGTAGCAAGAAACATGAAACATTCCATCCTGAAAAACGAAATAAAGAGAATAAGTATACATAATACAAAACAAACAAAAGAGAATTAGTATACAAAAAATGAAAACAAATTAAGATCATTTGTTTATAAAGGAACCAAAAAAAAATACAACATCAGCTACAAAAACGAACGAAGAAACAAAACATAGGCAAAAACTATTCACAGTAGCAAGAAACCTTCCGCCCTGAAAAATTAAAAAAGAGAATCAATATACAGAACACAAAACGATCAAAAGAAAATTAGTATAGAAAAAATGAAAACGAATTAAGATCATTTGTTTATAAAGGAACAAAAAAAATACAACATCAGCTACAAAAACGAACGAAGAAACAAAACACAGGCAAAAACTATTCACAGTAGCAAGAAACCTTCCGCCCTGAAAAAACAAAAAAAAAGAATCATTATACAGAACACAAAACGATCAAAAGAAAATTAGTATACAAAAAATGAAAACGAATTAAGATCATTTGTTTATAAAGGAATAAAAAAAAATACAACATCAGCTACAAAAACGAACGAAGAAAGAAAACACGGGCAAAAACTATTCACTGTAGCAAGAAACCTTTCGCCCTGAAAAACGAAAAAAAAAGAGAATCAGTATAAAAAACACAAAACGAACAAAAGAGTATAAACAACAATACCTACAAACACAAACGAAGAAACGAATCGGAGGCACTCTCCCATGACGTAAATGAATCGGAGGTTCTTCCTTGATTTGCTGTTAGTGTTCGTCTCTTTGGGCAATTCACACAACTCTCCCCTTTTCTTCTCAGACAACCTCAACTTCCTTGTTTTGGAAGACGAAAAGAAGAAAAGAAAGAAGCTATT